TCAAACTGAAATTTAAGTTCTTTTAAACCAATTTAAGACTGTCAATTAACAAGTAAAGTTATTGAACTAAGAGAATGAAATGAATCCATATTGATTGTGACAATTTCTTCAAAATTTACCGACAGACCTGATATTAAGGGACAGTTCAATAGTCCAAAAAATCCAAAGAAATTATTTGAACTCCTCTTACTCTAAATTACAATTTTTAAAATAATTGTAATTCCTCTTTCAAATCTGTAGATACTGATGAGTAAAATTCCAACATTCTTTGACATAATTACCTATAAAGAAGCTCTATCCTGTTATATGTGTAAAATATTTACAACCAAAAGGCAATTTGGTAGTCATTATTTAACACCCTGCCATAACTAATGTCCTTAATGACAGTTACTCTTCTGAAGCTAATTACTGAAAGGTTTTTGGCCCAGACAGGACACTGTAGCGGGTAAACCCAAGAAGCTCCTATCTCCCCCACCCCTAGGAATCTACTTCTGGCGCCAAAGACCAATGGGCTACCTGTGCATCCCTAATGCCCCTTAGGTACCACCCCAAACCGAGGCTACTTATGTGCCTCACTCCACGTGTTCCACGGAGAGATCGCGGGCCCTGGGGGCGAGGGGGGCATGCCGCGCCCCAGGGGATGGGGGTGTCTCTCCCCGCATTCTCAAAATAAAGGTCATTTATATTTCATACTTCTCTTTTCAGCCGCCGGTCCCCCCACAGTTCTAACAATTAGCCTCAGGTTCTCTTTGCCTTGGAACCTTTTAGACACATTTGATTGAAATATCAAAGCTATCAAAGTTTTCATTTGGAATCCTTATAAGAGGAAAATTTGGCCAAAGAAAGTCAGAAAACAAGAGAAGAACATCATATGAGGAAAACGGGGCAGAGATCAGAGTGCTTCGTCTACAAGTGAGGGAATCCCAAGAATTCTAGGTGACCTCCAGAGAAGACACAAACATGGGTCCTTCTCTAGAGCTTGCAGAGGGAACATGGCCCGGCTGGCACCTTCATGTCACACTCCCCACCTCCAGAGCTTTGAGCGGGTATCTTTCTGTTGTTTCAGCTGTCCAGTTTGTATGACTTTGCTACAGCAGGTCTGGTCCTGTGAGGAAGGGAGGTTTGGAAGCTGGGCACCCAAAGCCCCTGAGACAATTCTCTTTCAGGCTCTGACACACTGAAAATATATTTTTAAAATTATGCTTTACAATTTAATCCATTGCAGAAGTATTTCCAAAACATCAAAACGTGAGGAAATCAACAAACCTACGAGGTTTCTATTTGTTCACATAAATGTGAATTGATTCATGAATGAATTCTTAGATAAGATGAATGAAACTACAGAAGCCAGGCTGGTGGGGCACAACCATTATCCCAGCACTCTGGGAGTCTGAGGCAAGAGGAGTATGTGAGCCTAGCCCATCTTAGCAATTTAGAAAGACCTTATCTCAAAATTTAAAAAAAAAAATTGTTAAGGCCTGGGAATGTAGCTCCTTGGTTTCAATTCCCAATGCTACATTTAAAAAAAAAAAACTTACAAAAATAAGCCTGATTCAACCCCACTTGTGACATATACAACTACATAGAGGGAGACATGGCACCTCAGCATTTTAAATTCATCAACAACTTGTTCCCTCCCAGTAGCACTGTGTGTGTATTTTAGCTCTCAGACCTATGAAATTGACTGTTGACAGAACTGGACTTAACCTGGACATATGGGCTGGCAGAGTCACACATCCAGGACCTGACATGCACTTTTCTCATCTGGGTTAGACTGAAAAGAATGTCTTCTGCAGAGATGGATTTATGAATTGATTGGGAATCTTAAAAATTCTTAAAAATTAGAATCTCCACAATCACACGGTCATGAACCATCCCACCTTACACCTCAGTCCCTGCATTTCTCCTCTGCAAAGCGAAGCCTCTCCTGTCCCACCTGGAGGAGACAGCTCAGAGGTCTGTTTCTCTAGCAGTCAACCCAGAGCAGCCACTCTTCCTTCCAAAGCAGCTGATAATGTAACAGTCTGCTCACTCTTTTCATTCATGTTATACAGTACACTTTTCTCCAGATGTGAACAATTGCAAACTCGGTGAGAGCAAGAATTGCACCTAGACAGGAAGTTGTCTACAAACATAGGAAAGCGGGAAATACAAAAGATTGCTCATTTGTGAGTGCCGACTCCCAAATCCAAGAACAGTGAGCATTTAAAGACAAGTGCTATTGAGGGGGAAAAATTAACTAACTCAAAGTTAATTCCAGAAACCAGCACTACGCTGGAAATGTAAAGGGTTTACAACTTCACACCATGTAAGAATCCCCAAGCAGTGCCAGTGAAATGGAGGGAAGCGGCAGAAATCTGTGTGCTGTTTTGCTTTGCTGAAAGAGGAAGCACCCGACAATATCTATGGTGTGGGAAAAGTGCAGAAACACAGGACAGTGAGAGCATGATGTGCCAGGTAGATCAGGGACCAAGAGAAGCCTGAAAAGAATGAGGAACACAGCAAGCGGAGAAGTTTCATCTAATCAGTATTGTAGCCTTAATTTGCAGCCTGTCAGAGCTGGCCTAACCACCTACAGAAACCTTAGGCATCCTGCATCAGAACTGCCTGTAAGATCTGAATAAAAACATCCAGAGCTCACGCCCAACGGCTTGGTAAAGTAATGGACTCCAGCCAGACTCCATTAGTAAGCTTTCCTAAAATTTTATATCTGACAGCCTGCATTAGGTAAGGCAGTTTTATGCTGTCTCTGCCACAGTGATGGCCTAGAAATTATACACTGATATAAAGTCTGTTTTATTTCTTCAAGAAATAATGCTGATTCTTGGCATCAAGTAATTAATAGAGGTAAAAATAAAAAACACCACCATTTACTGAGTATCTGCCAGGAGCCAGACATCAAAGTTTATCATCTCTCGCCTTTTTTTTTTTTGTTCATCTCTTTTTGTACCAATCTTCTAAAAGAAGAATTATTAGTCCGGTTTTAAAGACAGTAAAACTAAGTTTCAGACTAGTCAAATTCCTGTCCTCGGATCTCACTTCAAAATTCTAAAACTTTTTTTTAATCTCAGACCTTTAAGAATCAGGCATAAAAGCAAGGATGCATTCCTAAGCATTCATAGTAATCTGAAGGACTATAATTATGCTCTGTTTCAAGGGACTAGTTTAAAGCAGCAATTTTAAAGCAGCAACTGAAGACAAGAGAAGCTAAGTCATCTCTCCAAAGTCAAAAGGGGCAGAGTTCCTGCAGATCTTCCAATTGAATCACACAGCCTTTCATCCCAACCAACTTACAACTAAGTAAGACACCAACCTTCTTGAATGTACACTAAGGATCAAAACCCAGAAATTCAGAACTCCAGTCCCAGAGACAGATCTTGGCACCACACTGCAATGTACAGTCATGTACGATCCAATCACAAGGTCACTATTGGCACCTCTGAAACATACTCACATTGTAATACCGATGAATTAGATAATCAGTAGACAATGCTGTTCTCTTTTCATTTGGGAAATTTAGAAGGACCTTGGCTCATTAGGTGGCTTTCACATAATAGTCAACTCAATTTAGATTTGTTGATTGACATATTGCCCACTTGGATCATTTACATGATACGTTACACACTGGGGTCTGTTCAGAGACCTAACTTCTAAATAAGGTAATATCTCTATCTCTCTCCAAAGTATAGATTTCCCATGACCTAAATCTATCCCTGAAGGGCTCTTATAATATCCATTTCCTGGAGTTTCTTACTTGTCCTTGGCACAATAAAACTATTTTGTTAGGGGATACTATTCTTTGCCTTGATATGGCAGTATACTTTCCAAGAGGGAACTTGAACCTTTTGCTTCTACAAACTCCAACTATGCTCTAAAACATTAAAAGTGAAAGCTCAAATCTTCTGTCTTTTCATATCTTTATTTGTAATACTCTTAAACATCACATCTCATTATCATAGTATTTTGATAAACTGGGGATAACTGGTCAGAAAGAGTCTATGAAAGGCAGTTGTGATTAACACTGGAATCTGCCTTCCCATATGACTTTATGAATCCAAGCTGCTTCTTTGTAACATTTATTACAAAATTGCTTTTTTGGCTGCTGTTAGTAGTCACTCGCATGTTACTGACTCTTTTACACGGTACTGTTTGGCCCAGTGCTTTGTTGCCCTAGGTAAGGTAACTTATAGAATTGTCCAAGAAAACCAGGGGAAGAGGATGGAATTTTCCAACAAAAAACATATTCATTTTGCAACTTCAAAAATATCATTGGCCAAGAATTGCCATTGGGAGTAGTTTCTCTGGCATAGAATATTTTATTTTCCCAGGATGACCTTAGGATATAATTTGGCACTGAGATCATTTGGCAACCTTGAGATTTAATGCAGTGAAATTAAATAACCAAATTGACTGTGGTTTTTAACTTACCCTTAGCCTTCCAAGGTGGATTTTGGCCAAGATTATGAATAAACATTTGAGCTTTCAAGACTTCTATTTTGTAATTACAATTTGGATAATATGAAAAGACAACACTTCTCAGTAGCACTGAATGTCTTTATGTGAACCAGTAAATTCTTTCCTTGGTTGTATTTGGTTTCCTGGACTTGGCACAGTTCAGGTCCAACTGTTTCTATGATCTTTGAAGCCAGCATTTTCTTACCACTTGTTTTGAACATATACTGTATTTATCATTCATTTTTATCAGATTGTTTTACATGTTTATGTGCTTTATTAAAGGTTTTCAGAAAAGGATGTCTTAATATCAAATTGAATCATTACACATCTGAAATTAACACCACTTGACTAAGTAATTATCAAGTATTACTCCTTCAAGCATAGCAATGTCACCAATTCTCCTGTCTCATCCCAGAGTCCCAGAATTTAAATCTATTTGCATGTATAAGTAATAATTCCGTACCATATGCTTTTCAAAAACCAAACACAACTACAACTAGAATAAGAACTGTGATATTGAATATATTTTGAGTTGAAATACTGACCTTAAATTGCTCTGGAATGCTCTAAATTGCTCTCAATATCCAGTAAGACATTTTTTAGGCCTGGCAATGTCTGGCTTTTCATTTCACCACCGAAATATATCATTTCCAAATGTGTCTTTAAAAACTAAGTAGAGAAACTAACAAATCACCAAGATTAAAGTTACCAGCTATCAGCATTTGGATCCAATGTCACCCAAAAGAAGGGCACTGGAACATGATTGGGTCATGAGGGCACTGATGTCACCAATGGGATAATCCATTGAAGGATTCATAGCTAAATAGGCTTTAGGCTGTGGGGCATAGGTGAAGAGAATGTGTCACGAGGCATGACCTTAAACACAGTCCTTGGTCCCTGGCCCTTCCTCTCTGACTCTTTCCTTCTCTCTCTGCTTCCTGGTTGCCACGAAGTGACCGATTTTCCTTGGTCACACTCTTGTGCCATTGTATAGGCTCAAAACAGGACCAGATATAGAACCAGCCCACTGTGGACAGAAACTCTGACTTGCTGCGTCCAGCGCAGCTCTCAAAATTCTGGGAGTGGGGAGGATTGAGAGAGGATGAAGAAATACATGTAGAAGACAATATACAGTGGAGCCCTCTCTCCTGATAAGAGGAAAGGAACCGCTCAATCATGGCAGTGTTTTGTTTAGACACTTGGCAGGCTGATGACATGCCCTTGCTTAACTAGCCCGCCTCTCACACCCCGTGTGTTCTGGGCTGGAACACCTGTTCCCCTGGGGTGCTCTGCGCCCTCCGGGATTCCTCAGGCCCTCCTGCTCTGGGTGCCTCTGGCAGGTGTAAAGGATCCAGCTCCAGCTCAGCGGCTCCCCACAGTGACTAGAAGGAAACTTTCCCTCCTTCAGGTTGTTTGTCAAGATATTTTGTCTCAGTGATGGAAAGTTGACTAAGACACAAGCTGATTTTCAATCTTAAGGTTTCAACCAAGTTCATCCTTTCCTCAGGAGTGCCTACCTCGATGCCCACTTTCCTCTAGTTGCAGTATTACCCTCGGCCGGGATTTGGCTCAGTGGCATAAACATCACCTGACAAGCACGAGGTCATGAATCTGTTTCCCTGTACCAAAAAAAAAATTAAAAATAAAAAGGTCTGGGGACATAGGTCAATGCACAGGCCCTAGATTCAGTCCCCAGTACTGCACTGGAGTATTATCCTCACTCAGAAGATTACCATTTATTAAATACTCAACTAGTAGCTAAATGATAAGGTTCTTCCTATGTGTTCTACACAAAACCACAGCGAACTTGTTTTTTTCTTCTATAATTATAATTCATTAAAAATATTTACATTATCAAGAATTTAAATATGTTTGCACACTCTCAAAAGGAAGAAAAGTAAAATGGCAGCAAAGTTTAAGAATTTGAAAAAGACTTATTTGAAGTAGATACAAATGTATTCCTTAAAAAATGAAGTACGCATTACACTATTTTTAGATGAAAAAACTTACTAAATTGATATGATTTTGAATTCTCTCTAGCACAACATGTAATTGCTACTCTTTTGATGTATTTATTTTTACTTAATCTTGTTGATTTAAATTGATTTGGTAATAAACTAGGACAGTGAACAACTAATGTAGGCTGTAGTCCTAGGGAAATGTTCACTTAGATAATTATATGCAAAATTCTGTTTTGATCAAAATTCCTATAGTCATTTGCTTCATAATGTCATTGTTGCTATTTGGGAGCTTGCTAAGGGACATCCCGAAGTTGGACCTAAGTTTGCCAACATCTTTTACAGAGACTACTCCTCAAGAAGTAAACAGAGGTAGATTTTTTTGGACTAAAATGATTTCACACTATCCTCATCCCAGATCTCTGTGTTGACTTACTGAAAGCAGTGATGGGAGAAACAATCAGGATGAATCACTCTTCTAAAAAAGAATGTTTAGTAAATGATAAGGCCTTCTATGTCCAGATGAATTTTGTTGGTAGGCGCCATACTGGCAGATATATTTCAAAGATGTATGTGCTAGCTTCCTACTACTATAATAAATACCTGAAAATAAACTTATAAAGGGAAAAGGACTATTTTGCTATATGGTTTTAGAGGTTGGTTGGCCCTGCTGCTTTGGTGCTGTGGCAAGAAGGCACATCTTGGTGGGGATCAGATGGTGGAACAAAACTGCTCATCTTACAACCAGGAAACAAAAAAGAAGAGGGAAGGGTCAGGGTCCCACCATTCCCTTCAAGGGCATGTACCCAGAAGACCTCCCACCAGGCCCTATCTCTCATTAGTTTAAATTGAGAATGTCCCCCTAAAGCTTTGCACAAAGTTTCATGTTATGCTTTACAGTGAGAGTGTTCCCATAAAACCTCACGCACTCAGAAGGTGGGGCATTATGAAGGTGGCTGGGTCATGGGTTACTGTAATCACGGGTGAATTCCACTGGTGAGGTCATCCATCCTCTGAGTGTGCTGGCGGAAGGTAGGAAGAGGTGGGTCACTGAGGGTGTGACCTGGAAGGTTATGTCTCCCTCCCTGGATCCTGCCTTCTTGCTCTGTTTCCTGGATGCCATCACATTAACAGCTTTTCTGCACCAGCAACTTCCACAGTGTGCTTTCTGTCTTGGAGCCAAACATGAACTGAAAACATGGGCAAAATCAACCTTTCCTCCTTTAAGTGGCAGGTGTCAGACGTTGGGTCTCAGCAATAAAAAGTGACCAACACATCCCAGTATGAAGGGAAACAAGCCTTTTCCACATAGCTCTTTGGAGGACACTTACCCAAAACATGCAGTATAGGGAATTATTTCCTCTTTTCTATACTAAATGCTTCTCCTCTGTAATGGTTGATACACTGTGTCAATTTGAGAAGTCTAGAAGCTTAAGTAACTCAGCAGTTCTATATCTTGGTGTGTAGAGGACATGCCCCTGCCAGTCTAGGATGTTGCTCATTGTGTTAATTTCAGAAGTTTAAAAGTTTAACTAAGTGATTCATCAGGAGGCCAGAGTCTTCACTTTGTAAACATGCTCAACCTGGGCAAGCAGAGGACATGGAGGTGGTAGGATGCTACACACACCATGGAGCAGGGGGAGTATCCTGCTTACAATATAAGGGAAGAAAAGAGGCTTTCTCTTCCCCAATTTTTGTTTTTGTCACCTTTGCTGTCTTCTGTGGCCTTGAACTGTTGCCCCTGCGCCATGCCACCCTGTCTTGGAGTCAGCTGATTATGAACTGAAATCTCCATGAACTATGAGCTAAAAAACCTTTCCTTCCTTAATTTTGGGCAACAAGTATTTTGTCTCAGCAATGAGGGAAAAGTAACAAAGACACCCTCCATACAACATTCCAAGGCAGCATTTTATCACAAAGATTTTCTTTATAGTATAGTCTCTCCACATTTTAAATCTACTCTTTGATATCTTTTTTTTGTACTAGAATCAAACTCAGGACTGCTGAGCTATCTCCCTGGCTCCTACTTTTGATATCTTAATTAATGCAATAGCTGTCTTTGTCCCACAAAACATAAACTCATATATATGTATATAAAGTTCCAATTCAAAAAAGTATCAACTCAAATTACATAGTTGCTGATGAATATGATATTTAAAATATGTCTCTCATGTTAAGAGCAGAATATTAACATCTCCTGCCTCCTTGAGATGTGTGGTGGGCACACACTAAGGTGGCCCTGTACCTTTGTATAATTCCTGTGCCCTTGAATGCAGCCAGAACCTGCGACTGGTTTCAAAGCAATAGAATACAACAAAAGTAAAGGGATTTTCCAAATGTAATTAGTTGAATTGTAGTTGTAGGGAGAGGGAGATCACCACAGTGGATCTAACCTAATCAAGTGAGTTCTTTAAAAGAGCGTCTGTGCCTTCTTTGGAGTTGAAGCTGCCATGACCCCCATGAAGCCCTTGAATTCTTGGATTGAAGGACTGCAAGAAGATGATAAAATGAAGGAGGAACAAAGCTGGGGTCTGGTGGAGCCCTTATCCTCCTGATGGGAGGAAAGGTACCGCTCAAGCAATGTAGCATGATTATTTATATATTATAGGATGATGTCAATTTCAGCCCCACTACCTAGAAACTCATTGCTTGAATTGTGTAGGGGCTTGGCGTCTTTCTGGGCTGTCGCAACTTCTTCAAGTGACTTGCCAAGGATGCTGCTTTTGGGAGGGTCATGCCCTGGCCTTACCACAGCCCTTCACATGTGGTCAATTTCCAGAAGCTTCAAAAGGTCCCAACAAGAGGCTTGAAGCAAAAGAGAGACCAAAACAAGAGCAAGATGGAGAGAGAGAGACAGAAAGACTGAGATTTTTTTGGCTTTAAAAAAGTAAGCTACCAGCTATCATGACTTCTATACCCATAGAAAATGAATTCTACCAGCAACCTCAAGCAGCATGGAAGAACATCCATCTCAGTCTGAGTTTCCATGTGAGAAAACATCCCTAAACCCAACCATGCTTTGATTTTAGCCTTGTGAAAGCCTAGCCAGAAATCCCAGCTAAATTATACCTGGACCCCTTACCCTTAATGTTATCTTAAACTGCTGAGTTTGTGCTAAATTTGTCATAAACCATAACCTGATTGAATGGACAACTTTTGTGAAGACAACAAGATACACTCTGGTACCAATTATTGTTATCCCAGCATCCTTCTCTGAAGTTCTATACTAGTTTCACTGCATTGTTTTGATTGGCTTTGTTCTGTATTGTTTTGTTGTATTTTACTATCTTTAAAATAAAATAAAAACATAATTAACTAGGAAAAAACAACAAGAAAAGAAAACATACTAACATTACTAACAACAACACAGTAGAATATCTAGAGACAAACATAACAGAAAAGCTTCGAAACTATATAAAAGAAAACAAAATACTTTTAGGAGACAAACCAAAAGACTTCAGAAGTAAGATGCAACATATTTTGAAAACTGAAGAAAATTCAATACAGCCAAGATGTCCATCTGCTCTAAATTATCTATCAACTCAATGGCAAAATAAATAAAAGTTTTAGGTGGAACTTGACAAAATCATACTAAAGTCTATCTGAAAAAGATAAATATAAGAAAATATTAACTATTCTAACAATAGAGAATCTAACACTTAGTAAGTGTTAGTTCTATCCTGACCCCAATTCTGTTATATGCTAGTCTCAGTTCATTCTCACACAGCGTCATTAGACAGG